CCCAGCCCATTTAAATGACATTTAAGGATGAAAATCCTATTGAAGGCATGGCTACGTTTACACCCGTACAGTTGCACAGATGCTTACGCCGAGCCAAACAGTTTGCTCAGTCATTTGGGTTATTCGGGCTGCTCCATTGCTTGGGTGCGTGTTTGCTTCACTAGCGCTATAGTCAGGAGGATCTCCGGGAGCAGACGCTGCCCAGTAGGTCCAGCTCTCAAAAAGACGGTATTGTATCGCGCATGCAGTGTCATGTTTTCCCTGTGCACGCATTTGTCTTATCTCTGTTGCACCGGGTCACTCCGGGATCACCAGCTTGTCACGGTCCGCCGTAAACGGCGCGGAGACTCCAGTCTGCCTGCATTGCCATGCCCGCCCCAGTCCAACTGCCCTGAGCACATGCAGATCAAGCAGAGCCCGCTTGACCAGTAGATCGCCTGATTTCGAGCTCTAGCCGCGGAGTAGCGGACGCTTCACCCGTGTCGGAACATCTGAGGTCCTCCTGACAGCGTACCGGGTGGGCCCCAGCCAATCCAGCTCAGGTGTCCCGGATTGGCTGGGGCCCACCTGGTGCATCTGAGGCCCTCCTGACAGCGTACCGCGCGGGCCCCAGCCAAGCCGGGACATCTGAGGCCCTTCTGACAGCGTACCGCGTGGGCCCCAGCCAAGCCGGGACATCTGAGGCCCTCCTGACAGCATACCGCGTGGGCCCCAGCCAAGCCGGGACATCTGAGGCCCTCCTGACAGCGTACCGCGCGGGCCCCAGCCAAGCCGGGACGTCTGAGGCCCTCCTGACAGCGTACCGCGCGGGCCCCAACCAAGCCGGGACGTCTGAGGCCCTCCTGGTAGCGTGCCGTGCGGGCCCCAGCCAAGCCGGGACGTCTGAGGCTGCCATGCTCGCACCATGGTCGACAGAGCGCTATATCTGTGCTGGTGGGACGGCCGTGATTTCACGGCCGGGTACAGACGCCTGTCGAGCGTGATATGGCTGGACGCTCGCCAGAGGTGATCAGCGGCAGAGCAGCGCCAGTCTCCGGCCCGACAGAACGGCGCCAGACTCTGGCCCGACAAAACGGCGCCAGACTCCGGCCCTACAGAACGGCGCCAGGCTCTGGCCCGACAGAACGGCGCCAGACTCTGGCCCGACAGAACGGCGTCAGACTCCGGCCCGACGGAACGGCGCCAGACTTCGGCCTGACAGAACAACGGAAATGACAGAGCTCCGCCGGCCTTACCGGGAACTCCGCGGCGAGCGGTCATGAAGGTCAGGTCAGGAGGCTCAGGTCAGGAAGCGCCCCCGACCTCTGGGAGGTCCCTCTGGCCCACAGTATGACCCCTTGGCGGAGGCTGACTGATTGGTCATTGACCAAGTCGTTCAACAAGTTATCTCAGGTATTTTGGCATCTACCAAGATAAGCCATCATTTTACAAGTTGCAAAACGGGTCGGAGGAATCGTTTGGAGGAAGCCATCGCAACGCGATACTCAACTTTGTTTTGATTTTTGCGTGTGTTCCACAAAGGAAGGCATTTTACATGAGCATCCCCTCACCAGCCGCTCTGCCCCCGGCCTCCATTCTCCTCGGCCCTTTGATTGTCCGGGCCATGCCTCCGGCCGAGAGCGAGCTGCCGTGAAAGGGATGATGGTAGCGACCGTTCCAGTCGAGAGACCCGCCATGTGAATCTTTTTATCCAGCGAGCCCCAGGCGACGGGCTACTGAGCGCCATCAAAAAGGAAGATAACGAAGGAGGCCATTTACTTATCCCAGAGCCATGCGGCGCCATCTCCTCCTAGCGTAAAGTTATCTCATTGTTTCGGGATGGTGATGCCAGCAGCAGCGGATATGGGTATGGATATGCATATGGATATGAGATAATGAGTGATATCGATGGAGGGGCACGCTTTTTAGATATCTGAATATTATCGTAGTCCGAACATGTGATTAGCTCAACATCAATTAAATAGTGAAACTAGATGACAATGTTTGTGCAGTCTTGAGGGCTCACTCCCTCGGCCCAGAGATGGGCACCCCACCACTGGGCTGAGACAGCCACGGCTAACCAGAGATGGGCACCCCACCGCTGGGCTGAGACAGCCACGGCTAACCAGAGATGGGCACCCCACCGCTGGGCTGAGACAGCCACGCCCAGAGGGCAACCAGAGATGGGCACCCCACCACTGGGCTTGAGACAGCCACGGTGCTAACCAGAGTTGGGCACCCCACCACTGGGCTGAGACAGCCACGGCTAACCAGAGATGGGCACCCCACCACCGAGCTGAGACAGTCACTGCCAGCCAGAGATGGGCACCCACCACCGGGTTGAGACAGCCACGGCCCAACCAGAGATGGGCACCCCACCACCGGGCTGAGACAGTCCCGGCCAGCCAAAAAGGAAATAGGTACGGGAAAGAGAAGCCGGGAGAACGTCTAGTAACACTGAACACCTCACACAGGCACACTGCCCCATCCCGCTCTGCGGCTTCATGCCTTCTCTCCCCCCCCCTTGTCTCACCCCACGCCCACCCCCCCCCCCCATCGATCAGAAGAGCACACACTTCTGAACAATGGCAGAGGGGCCGGGCCAGTACGGTGGAACCGGAGCCGGACCCGGATCTCGCCGGGGCCTTCCGAGGCGGGATCCGGCTCGTCCGCTGGACCTTCGCGGGAAGTGGCCGCTTCCGGCCCCGGAAGTGGCCACTTCCGACACCCACAGTCGAGCGGCGGGGCACCTGACCACACCCGCCGCTGCGAGCTCTGGTGGGTTCGTGTCCAAGGCAGGTCTCGCCCTTCCGTGTGACGCGGAACGCAAAGAATGCCATTATTACGGGGCGATGTCGTTCTGTTTGACGGATTGGCGATTTGACGGTTTCATGTGTGCCGAATGCTAGCATCTGATCGGAGGTAAGCTTCTTCGATGTCATGATTGGGACAGGGAGATGGTGTGAATTTTAAAGGCCAGTTTGCTGGATCAATAGACTCTCACCAAGGTCAAATGTGTTGCAGAGGAGCAACCACCTTAAAAATTAAAACGATGGAGTAGCGATAACGACAACGATAGGGCAGAGATAAAACGATGGATCAGTTCTGGAATGATTGGCTTGGGTCGGTGAGATACTGGTTTCGAAACGTCTCGATACGTTTCACAAAGTCCTCGGTTACAGATGGCACAATGTATTACGCTGTAAAGCATGCAACGTATCACACTGTCACAAACGCAAGACGCATTTGACAGCCCGGTCACATGCGTCCCAAAATAACCGACGCACAGCAGGGGCGGCGGGTAGCATCACAGCGATGGCTGGGCGTGTCATGATCATACCGATGGCTGGGCGTGTCATGATCATAGCGATGGCTGTGCATGTCAGGATCATAGCGATGGCTGGGCGTGTCATGATCATAGCGATGGCTGGGCGTGTCAGGATCATAGCGATGGCTGTGCGTGTCATGATCATGCGACGGCTGGGCGTGTCATGATCGTAGCGATGGCTGGGCGTGTCATTATCATAGCGATGGCTGTGCGTGTCATGATCATAGCGATGGCTGGGCGTGTCATTATCATAGCGATGGCTGGGTGTGTGATGATCAAGAGGGGACTGGAAACAGGACTGGTCCGGCTTTTGGACAAGCGCTCCACTTCCAGCCGTGCTGATTTTACAGCGCGGTCAAACATTATAGCTATACAGGCTGTTTGAGATAATGAGCCGGTATGGACATATTTATCATTCCAACTATTATCCATATAAACGGCGTTATCATTTACCGAAATATGAATGAAAGTTCCGCGCACAACAGTCTGAAACATCAGTAAATCTTACTTCCAAACAATGACCCCCATTTGGCGTCAGCCACCTTTGACGGTCAGTTAACCGGTGTTTTTTGCCAGGGGCTCAAAAAGCCCCTGTCCTACGAAGACCTGAAGCTAAATCTCTCGAACAAGATCCATCCCAAACAAATTCCGGATCCACCACAAAATCTCACATCCCAAAACCGGACCCCATTTCGCGGACCAGGTCCCCGGTCTAAGGAACTCGATTATCGGTCCTCCCAACCAGATCGTTTTGTCCCCCAAACCGGATCTCCGATCCCCAGAACCAGATTCGGATTCCACGAGCCAGCCCCGATCTTCCGAATCAGATTCCAGATTACCCGAACTAGATTCTCGATTTCCCGAAACACATCTCGGCCCCCGAGACCAGAGAGTTGGTCCCCGAAGCAAATCACAGCTCCTCGAACCAGATCTCCGGTCCCTCGAACAAGATCTTGATTTCCGAATCAGATCCTTGATTTCCGAACGAGACTCTCAACCCTTCGAACCAGATCTTCGATTCCACGAACCAGATGCAGCCATAAGTTTACGTATCAGCGATAAAGCACCCTTTGACAGATGCAACTAATACGAGCTGAGAATGTTTTCAGGCCTGCATAGAGGTGAGGTGTAAGTGTAGAAGACGTCTCCATCAGCGGGTGGTCTTGCTGCCATCATCGATTCCGACGCGCCTTTCACGGCTCTTTGCTCCAGCATTCCTCTCCGGCATGCCAACATGTCAGGCCGACCTTGCCGATCTTTCGAGTTATGAAAGACTCACAAGCGGAGCCAGCATGCCTGGCGTCTCGTTCAGGGCTATGTCGTAGCAGAGGCGTCTCGACTCGCGAGAGAAGCCTCCAGCATAAGTTGGCTATCGAACTGTAACGTCTGCGCTCGAATATGCTGGAAGCTATAATGAAGAACGGAGAAGACTGTACCACGACTTTTATTATAATATCTAATTTTAAGTAGACGAAGGCCTCTCCAGAATCTCAATTCAATATGGCGTTGTTCACATGAAACCACATCGTGAAGGGACCCAGCTATTGCGACAATAACACTTAATTACCAAATGCTGGTACAAAACACTGCAGCACGTCATATTGGAGGTGAAAGGTGAGGACGATGCTTGAATCAGAATAAGGTAACGCAAGCCGCGTACAAATAGCAGACGCGGATAAGGCCGGGCTCTCACCTGAGTCGTCGATGGGGAGATTTTCCATCAGCCATTCTATGAGGTCGTACCCTGCAGAAGTAACAAGAGTTAGCTGAACAGTTTAAATGCAAGCATGTCCATCATTTAGATCAGTCCCTAATGCGTAATTAACACCGGCTTTTGTTATTTCAGAGCGCGTATCGAGGTTTGACGGAATGCTATTGTGCTGGACGTGAGCCTGAATGTCTTAACCTTAATTTCATTGCGAGAAATTGCAATTGCCTCAAAAAGGCATGGAATGGAAATCCGCAAAAGATTATGTGAGTGAAATGAAAGCGTACTAAAGTGTTTTCAACATGACTTAGCAGTCTTTACGCTGTATGTACCTATTAAGCCTTGTGGTAGTGTGGGGCCTGCAAGGGATACCCAATCAAAAATGTATCCGTAAATTGTTCAGTGCATTTGCGAGGAACATTTTTCACACAAATAACACAGTAGTAGTAGACTTATTACTCAGGGAAAACCAGGAAAAACATAGATGGGTTGATATGTCAGCAACATGCATTTATCGAAACAATAGCAAAACTGAATTCAAAATTGTCTGCCGCTGATCCTGCTCGATTTTTCAGTTTGTTTTTTGAAAGAGCAGGCCACAGTTTTTATAGAGCACTAACATTCAGGGGATTTAACAAAGGGCGAGTGCCAGCCATTTCCATGATACAGTGCATATCTAAGAAATAGAATAGGCAAAAATACGTGTGCATGCAAACGAGTTCAAGCAAACAGACATCACGCATCACGTCTCATTCGAACATGCAAGCGAGTTGAAGTAAACAGGCATTACACATCACGGGTCATTTATACATGCCAGCGATTTCAGTTGAACAGGCATCACGCATCACACGTGAAGTACCACTTACAGATTTTAACGATCTTTAGCTAGCACACATCGCACATCAAGGCACATATCACCTTTGCATAATCGGCCATGATGAGCCTGTACGTCGAGGTTTGGTCGCCGACGTTTTATAAAAATAGATTCGCTTATTTTCCTGTCTGGGTGGTCCTGTACTCCATAAATCACCTTGAGCTCTAAAAGGGGTATAGGGTTCACACCTCCCTTGATTTCAGCCTGACCATTTTTGCAACAAAATAGTCACCAAAAGGGATATCACACAGCCTCGAGACGCTTTGAGATGTAATCAACGGCTGCGAGATGCTAAAAATAAAAGAGGGAATACCCCTTTGGATGACCACTTTTTGGCAAAACACGCAAAGGCTGAAATCAAGGGAGGTGTGGAACCTATACCCTTTTTAGAGTTCAAAGTCATCTACGGAGCACAGGACCACCCAGGCCGGAAAATAGGCAAATCTGTTCTTATAAAAAGTCGGCGACCAAATCTCAACGTACAGGGCTCATCATGGCCGATTATGCGAATGCGGTATGTGCCTTGATGTGCGATGTGTGCTAGCTTAAAACCTGTATGTAGTAACACGTGTAAGTGATGCTTGACGCGTGATACGTGATGCCTCTTCAATTGAAATCGCTGGCATGTATAAATGATGCGTGATGTGTAAGGCCTGTCTACTTCAACTCGCTTGCATGTTCGGATGAGGCGTGATACGTGATGTCTGTTTGCTTGAACTCGTTTGTATGCACACGTATTTTTGCATGTTCTATTTCTTAGATAGGCACTGCATCATGGGAATGGCTGGCACTCGCTCTTATAAAATCCCCTAAATGTTGGTGTCCTGTCGAAACTTTGGCTTGCTCTTTAAAAAAAAATCTGAAAGATCAACTAGGATCATCGGCAGGCAATTTACAATGTACTTCTGCTATTGTTTCGATAAAGACTGTTGCCGAAATATAAATCCATCTATGTCTCTATTCCCCGTTTTTGCTCCAAGGAATAAGGCTGTTTCTACTGTATGATCTATAAAAATGCATCCGACAAATAGATGTGTGCAGGATTGAAGAATTCTCAGCTCTACCCATGCTCGATAATGATTCACTTGCCATGATCATGCAAATCTCCATTTGGTGATATTTTAAGACGGCTTGTACGCTGCAAGCCTTTGAAATGGTTGTGGATTCTCAATTAAGCACCAAAGTTTTGCGCGTGGGCGCTCAGTCAGCTCGTAAAGTACACCCAACGCTCTCATCAGATCGATCAAACGAGATTGTGTTTCTGATCGTTAGAGCTTGAGGAACGCTGATGCAATTGTAATAGCATATAAAATACGACCGGCTAAGCAAGTTCAGAAATTCGGTCAATGTCGCAAGCAATGGGGGAGTGTTGAAACACACAAAACTATTTGTGCATGCCAATCATGACGGGGCTCAATTTCAACAGCCAAAGCTTGCGACGCAAGAACGGAGCGCTTCTCCGAACATGACTGTTGTGGATGCAGAAGGGCAACTTCCGCGTAAGGGCTGCGTCGACGAAACATCTGGCGGTAGGCAATCAGCGGAGCTTCCGCAAGCTCTCAGTCATCACGAGAGCAGCGCCAGCGACCTAAATCAGAGCGCGGCGACGGTGCAGCGTAGGACGCCGTTGTACGGCGCCGTCGACTGGCCACACTCAGCCGATTTTTGGTCGGCCAGGCTGATATCACATTCCAAACTGACGTCAGCTCTCCGCCCCCTTTCGCCCCCCCCCCCCCCGCCGTCTGCAGGCGACGAAGGGTGATTGTTCGGTGGAAAAGTGTGTCAGTGGGGTTCACCGGCTGCAGCCGATCGGTCGATCTATTACTGTTGATGGACCGGCGCCCACACCGCTGAGCGGCGTGCCAAGCCAAGCCCAGCACTAAGCGAAGCGCTCACCCCCGCCTCGCAGTGTATTGTGATGTCGCGGATGCGTGACACTCTGAAAAACAAAACAGCCAGAAAGACGCACGTCTTCCTTTCGTTAAATGACACCCGCACACACGCGTAGAGAAACATTCGGTGCAACAGGTGGAGAGGTGCCTCGCACACGTCTCACCGGCTCCAAAACATAGAAAAAGTACCACATGAGCATAATGAAACACACCAAAGTGCCACAGTACGTCGCAACACATAGAAACCCTACAATACGGCTGTTCAAACTGTCCAAGTGCTCTGTCTGCTGCAGTGTATCGCTGTATGGACCGTAAAGCACCGGAAACCCTCCAGCGAGCCTGGCGGGCTCAGATCCGACCGTCAGACAACGCTGTGCGGCTCTGCTAAGCACCGGGCCGGGCTGCACAATGCGTGAGCATTCATAATCGCATGCCCCGTGCCACGAAGTCCGGCACTATGCGTGCAAAGTGGGACTGCACCGGCCGTACAGTTTCTCGTAAAAACGGGGAAGTCGGGTGTCCGTAGAGGGTATAACTCACACATGTTCGTGTGAAATGCTCGTACAGCCTTGCAATGACGTATTCCCTGCGTCGACCCTCCCCCTCCTGTCCCTGAAAACGGAGTTGGCTTCTGGGCTACCCATTTCAAACCTAGCAAACTAAATTACGTAAGTTGTTCAGTGTATTAGCGAGCAGCATTATTCACATACATAAGACGGAAGTATTAGCCTCATTCATCGGAGAAAAACCAGGAGAATATAAATATAGTTGGGCTGATATTACAGCAATATGTATTTATCGAAACAATAGCAGAAGTGAATTCAAAAGTGCCTGCTGATGATCCTACTCGATTTTTGAATTTTTTTTGGAAAGGCAAGGTACAGTTTTTACAGGACGCTTACATTCAGAGGATTGAACAAATAGCGACTACCAGCCATTACCACGTTACAGTGCCTATCTAGGAATTAGGGTACGCGAACAGACGTGTACATGCAAACGAATTCAAGCAGATAGGCATCACACATCACACTTCATTCACGCGTGCAAGCGAGTTGAAGTAAACAGGCATCACACCTTGTACATCAATTATACATGTAAACGATTTCAATTGAGCAGGCATCGCACATCACGCGTCAGGTGTTACTTACACATGTAAACGAATTTAAGCTAGCACACATCACACGAAAAGACACATGCCACTTTCGCATAATCGACCATGATGAGTCCTGTATGTTAAGATTCGGTCGCCGTCTTTTTATAAGAACAGATTTGCCTATTTTCCTGCCTGGGTGGTCCCGTGCTGCGTTGGTGACTTTGAGCTCTAAAAGTGTGTGGGGGGGGGGGGGGGGGCTAAATACAACATGGTAGTATCTCTCAGCAGTACTCAGGCTGAAATCGAGGTAAGTATGTACCCTATGCCCCATTTAGAGTTTAAAGTCATCTGTAGAGCACAGGACCACGCAAGCAAAATAAGTGATTCCGTTCTTGTAAAAAGTTGGCGACCAAATCTTAACATGCAGGGCTCATCATGGCCGATTATGCGAACGTGACATGTGTCTTTATGTGTGATGCGTGCCCTTTCGTCGGGCAGAAATTCCATCCTTAGCACCGTCCAGCACTTGGACGGGTGCGGCTTAAGTCAGATCAGTCGGGACATCCCACAGCCAAACAGCCAGTACAAGAGTGCCGGGCCATTACGCCATCCCATGTATCATCATAGCTTTGTCCCAGCTCAAACCAGCCGCCTTTTATTGTGGTTTACGAAGGAAACGTTGCTTGCACTGCCACTGTGACACGACTTTTTTAGGATCACAACACGGCCTGATGCGGCTGGCTTTTCAAATAAAATAATTTCAAGGATCATCCTTTCAACTGACTGGATGAGGGCTGCACGCCGACGGCATCTTAGGCCAAGGGCGTTACCTAGTCGATGAAGGCTTCTTACTCTCCTCCACTAGAGCTATGGCTGGAAATGCTCATGCATTATTAGATTGAGCAGGAAGAAATGGTGTGGTGTTCAGCATACGATCCATCCGCGGATGAAGACCCAAGAAGACGACAGACACACGAAGGAAGACCCAGTCCAAAGTAACGCTCAGGGCTGTGTACTTCTGTCTTTTCTGTCTCGTCGTCCGTCTCTATGGGCTGATGAGCCGATGAAAAAGTTTTGCAGTGTATCGATGGTGGTATGCAACTGGTAAGAGTACAAGAGAAACCATGCCTTTGGGCCTTGACAATTTTCTTGCTGCGAGAATCGAGCCCACGCCTCTCGAGCGAGCATCTAAGACTTCAACCACCCGCTCACTTTTGCAATGTAAAACCTGGCGAGCTAGGAGCACTTAGTACGAGTAGGAGAAGCCTCATACTTACCACGAGTTCAGATTCCGCCGGAAAAACGATCAGACGGAGTCCACCTCTCGATGGGGAGGCTGGCTGTACTCACCCATGAAGGCGGACGGAATGGTGGTCAAGAAGAGTTTCTGGCACCTGACCGGAACCCCGGACTCGGGACTCTGCATCTGCCGGACCAGCATCTCCATCTGCGGACAAAGCCGTGAGTCAGCTTCGGTGCTGTCATGTCCGAACCGTAGGCAGTTGGCATCGCTCCCACATCCATCCCAGAGCTGATACGCCTTCCAGCCGATTACGAATCTGGCGCGCCAAGGGAAAGGCACGAGCCAGTACGTCCTCGGAGTCATCCTCAGTTGTCAGCCTGTATTAAACGAGATCACTTTCGATTTTCGTAACATGTACCGAGCTTTACATGGAACACAGCCGTATAAATCATAAAACAATTGCACTTTCTATCGCCCCCGTCGAGCGTGTTCGTGCACATATTACCACATGTGAGGACGAAAGTCCAAGCAGATACTCCACCCGTAATACCTCGTAATTCCCCGTCTTAGTCCTTCCGTACACCAGTATATTATTGCTTGGAGTATGCCATTATTTGCTCCCAGTTGAAGTGAGGTCGGATACGTAAGGTCGTTAGAGCTCATATCATCAGCTATTATCACCATGGTCCAGTGTGGCCTTGACTTAACAATACACAGACGCACAGCATGAGAGGCATCGGGCAACTTGTGCAACTTCACCGGTATGTTTTCCTTTCTCCAAATTGGCATGAGGACGCAGCCAATGCCATTTTTAGGCGGCACGGTGAAGGCCATCTTATCGCTTTTCTGTCAAACTAAAGCGAGCGTCAGGGACATTTAACTTTTGGGCTTTTGATTAAAGCTATGCCCATCGCTTTCCGGCTCATTTTTTGGAAATTTCCACCGCATCGCCACAGAAGTTTGGAGCTAAAATCCAAGCTCGTTTCCGAATGAGAAGAGGATGGGTGTTTGGATAGCCACTGCCCAAGATCCAAGGGCGGACCCAGCATCAAATCGAAAGGCAGCTTCTGACTTGCCATAATCCCATTGCCCCTCTCCCTTCCCCTGAACGCGCCGCTGCCAACGGCTGACTTTTCACTTAACGTTTGAGATGAGACGGTCGCGCAACAGCTGGCATCAGCTGAAGAACCGCGATGAATAATAACACTCCCCGCATCTCGCAGACTGCCCGACCTGTAGAACCCACACCGGCATGGTGCACGGCGCGTCCTTTCAAAAGTTAAGACGTCACGGGCGCGCGGCTAATGACCTACGGCTAATGACCTACGGCGGGTGGACGATTCTGGCGCGCCGATGCGCCGGGACAGCACCGGCACCTGCCACCTCCGCCGCCCTGGCTCCGGCGCCCGCCACATCCGCCGCCCTGGCTCCGGCGCCCGCCACCTCCGCCGCCCTGGCTCCGGCGCCCGCCACCTCCGCCGCCCTGGCTCCGGCGCCTGCCACCTCCGCCGCCCTGGCTCCGGCGCCCGCCACCTCCGCCGCCCTGGCTCCGGCGCCTGCCACCTCCGCCGCCCTGGCTCCGGCGGCCGCCACCTCCACCGCACCGGCGACGGATCGATGCCCGGAGCGTCGCTCGGGTTGCTGGGCTGAAGTGGAGCGCAGCACTACAGTCTGTCCGGAATCTGAACGACTGCCCCCACGCTAACGTCATCCCGGGGCGCGTGACGTCATCCTGGGGCGGGTGACGTCATCATGAGGCGCGTTGGATGTCCAAAGTCCTGGCGAAGGGAGGAAACCGCGGCCACATCCCAGCCGCGGCTGCGGCTATCAGGTCGTCTTAGAGAGATGATCAAGGGATTGCGGAGTGTTGAGAAGTCGTTCAGAAATGGCACTAGCAATGAGGAGCTGTTCGTAGCGAAGAGGTGGCTATTCCACCACTGTGGACAGATACAGGCACCGGTAGAACTCATTATTGAAATAATGATTAAATGATGATGACCATGTAAAGTGATGCAATGTTTTAGCACTTTCAGCACGCACCTCATATGAGAGTAATGCTTTCCTATAATAGCCATCCATGAAATCTGTTTGCCATTCTGTGCTGTGATCAGGTTTAATGTGCACGGCCAAAATTACAGTTGGTATATTTTTTCATCTCACGCATTTTTGAACATATCTTGTGCTGCTTTAACCCATCAAGGCTGTGCAAACTCACTGCGATGAATACCGAGGTGCATGCAAGAAAGCCTAATGGTGGGACGCAACTAAAGAATCCAGCGAAAATCCAACTGAAGGGAGTGTTCCACATTTATATGGGGTTCTGAACTAAAATTGCCATATTGAGGACCTTTGATACAGTTCACAGCCACGTCCTTTCTAAGATCCAAAACCCTCTGATTCCTGAGTTACATGCCGGCGAAAGTGCGAAAAGGTTCATTGGGGAATCACTTCAATGTCACCATGGCATTAATGACGTCAAAGAAACGTCATACGATCGCCGTCATATTACAGGCTGTTTTCCGTTTATGGTCAAAAACAGCATGTCCGCTGATGTGTTCGCAAAGGCTGCACATATGATAAAGGCTGCACAAATGCTGCACATATGATACAACCCGCGAAAAAGAGATGTTCTGTTTGTAAAATTTTGCTGCCGTGTACGTTTCGCGAACGTAAACGTGAGCCATTTCGGGTTGTGCGACACTTGTCGTCAACGGGACGTTCTTCCCTCTTCCTAGGCCGTATCCTATTTTGCATTGGTACGGGATGCCGAACAGAAAGCGTTGTGTACGCGGTGCTCACCGGATGAGAGAAAATTATTTGGCTGTATTCGTGTAAGTACCTCGATGCCACACTGTTAAAAACATTTCACGCCGAATTTGTCTGGCGTATCACCGACATCGCAGCAACAAATTCAGGGTATGCACGTCTCAACATCGCATGCAATTTTGAGTTTGATGAGCTGTCGCTTTCAGTTTTAGCCCCAGTTTGAGCAATGATTATGTTACTTTCGCAATGTCCGGCAAAAATGCCTTAAAAATAAGCCAAAGTTATTGAAAAGTATGCGCATGTCGTGATGACCCAAGTTTGCTGATGCGGTTTTATCTTTTGTGGTGAGCTCTGTATTCCATAAGCCTTTGCAGGCTAGTGATTAAAAGTCATTGACATGCGATAGCCAGACTTTGGGAGCATGCACAACCTGATGACAATTGTAACACCATGGTAAAAATGATGCATATAATGAATCTGACTAATTTCTAGCATATAGCGCCAGGAGTTAGGCTTATGGTTGTCCCCTATTTCAGAAATGATGTTTCGACGTTCGCGAAATGACGTTTGTGTTATTTATGGGTAATGGTTAATATGAGTTTTTATCAATACAAATATATATTCTTGATATTCTATCTCTTCATATACTATACTATTTATTATTATATGTTTTTCTACTACCAATATAAAAAAATACGAAAAATACGCTACGTGAGCTTTGGGAACGATTAGCTGGGCCCAAGTACGGAGCATGGGGGCAGATTTGGCACATAGCTGTCGATGTTAGATGGGCGTGGCATAATGTGAGAGTGGTACAATTGATGGGTTTTCACAGATTGAGAAGACAGGGAAAACATTACTGCCACTGTACAGCCGAATGAGAGCGATGACAAACACCTATACATAACATACTTCCTACCTATATCCTGTGTGAAATATGGGACGAACTTTGTTTTAACACCTTGAAGTAAGTAACCATATTGTCCTGCTCCCATCTCCAATCTTTCTAAACAAGTTTGTAAAGCTACACATTGGCTATGGGATGCTTGCACAATCAGATATGCTAATTCAATATGGATATTGCCAGTCAGGCTAGGACCAGGGAATTCAGTCTTAATTAATCCATCGCACCAGATCGCAGAAAGCTTTAGTATGGTTAGTCTTTTGCTGAACCTGATGCGCTGAAATAAGATTTGCACCAACCCGCACGCCTGCGATCAGATGTGCTCAAGGCGCATACCAAGTTTCGCTATTTTGGACACTAATCCCAGAAAGTCATTCATGGAAAATGGTTTGAATAAAATTACAAAATATCGTCATTCGACGGCTTTGTGTAACTAAGTGGTAAAAAATTATTATCTGTAATATTGTGTTTTTATGCTTGTTTTTGTTTGCTCTTTGTCAGAAATATCCTTCTGTGGGAAATATACTGTCGGCAATGAAAGGTCACGTGTTTGACGCTAATATGACTGAGCTATGACTCAGCCGTGTTGCATGGCTCCAGAGAAGATCCGCATGTACAGCCGCATCTCCGACCAGCGTATCCTATGGCCGGTGAAGGTGTTGAGGACCCTCCCGCACGTGCGCCCGTTCCTGGAGGCCATCGTGGACAAGTGTATGCAGGTCATCATCACTGGTCAGTCGGAGCGCTCCGATGTGGCGCACCTAGTTGTGCACCGTGGACATCGGCCGCACGGAAGTCGAGAGAGCCTGGCGGACAGCCGCACCCGGCACGCCGATTCCAGTAATTTACATTTGCCATGACTAGCTGGCCCCGCCTTGCTCGACCTGGCGGACGTTCAGCGTTGTCCATGAGAATCGGAAGCTTCTGGTGAAATGCCATGTAATATTCGGAGGCGAGCGAAATGTTAGTTCTCATTATCGTTGGATGCGGAAGTTGCCAAAGACGTGTTTGCGTCTTTGTCACCTACGTTTTGTGGATTAGCAAAACAGGCTGAGCAAGTGATGTCACTTATTGGTTGTGTGCTTTGCTGAAAGTGGTTTGCATGTTTTATCCTGTGTTTTTGGTCAGTCTTTTGCCAGATGCGGAGTTATTTTGCCAGCACGTGTAAAAGCACGTAATAAATCCACGTGGCCACGTGTCGTAATAAGGCCACGTGTCGCTGGGGTCACTACGTGCACACGCCCCGGGATGAATGTGCTGCGTGAGCTTTATTCATAACACATAGTTCAATGTTTTGCGCGCTGCCATAACGGGCTTATTGAGCAGCGTTTTCGGTCCGCTCCCGGTGGTCCTCCGCAGCGCCTGGTGGCCCTCCGCAGCGCCCGGTGGCTCTCCGCAGCGCCTGGTGGCCCTCAGCAGCGCCCGGTGGTCTTCCGCAGCGCCCGGTGGTCCCCCGCAGCGCCCAGTGGCCCTCCGCAGTGCGTGCCTGCCCAGATGCCGCGTCGTATTTCTCAAAACTCAACTCTGCTCAATT